CGAGACTGTCCGAGCCGGGGCTCGAACCGGCAACCTTCCGATTACAAGGCGAACTCCCAACTCTTGAGCCACGATCGCCCTCGATACCGATATGAATCCGATATAGTGTATTTTATAATCAATAAAACAGTTTTTTTTAAATATCTTGCTGCATTTTGTGAAAGTTCATACTCAAGTTTTGAAAAACAAAAACTAAAGCTATTCTGTTATACCTCTATGCAAAAAATACACTGCACCCAAAATGTATTATTTTTTAATTATTTTTCTACAATAATTAAAGAGATTCAACATATTTCTTCTACGGAATTGCAGACTGCACAGATGGTACCTTCCCAAAGGAAAAAGTACTATAGCTTCCGTAATATCGGATCGGTCCATCCCTAGTATTTACCTTATAATATAAAGAGCCTTGAGGATACTGTTTGGTATGATTGGTGCCACATTAATAATGCTTAAATTAAACTGGATGTTTATAAGTTATTTATTGATGAGAAATGCACAAAATTCCTCTGGAGCAATAATGATAGCTGCCTTTACTACACTAACTACACAGATTATAAATGTTTTTTCACTCTGAATTTGATTCATATAAATCTCTGTATAGCCACAGGTCCAGAGCATAAACAATATTGTGAAAAGTATTTGTTTACCCATCCAAATCATTCAATGAATGTGTTATAATCACTGCCATGGTCATAGGTGTATAACATCAAGCACTTAGGCATGCAGACTGTTACTACAAACATTTGTAGTTGTTCTCAAGAGTTCAGTGAATTCCAGCGTGGTATAGATACAACAAGTTCAGCTGTAAAATGTCCTCACTAATAAATATTATTAGGTCAGCTGTCAGTCGGATTGCAATAGAGCAGAGGCGATTGGTAATAACAGCACCTCTGCCATGAAGTAGTCCACTTAAAACCACAGAGCGGTGCCATCGAATGTTGAGGTATACAGAGGTCAGCAGCTTTTTGTAGAGTCAATCACTACAAACTCCAAACTGTATGGTTTCCATGGCCAAGCAGCTGCATCCAAACCTTAAATCATCAAGCCCAATGGTAAGTATCAGATGTGGTGGTGTAAAACACGCTGCCACTGGACTCCAGAGCAGTGGAAACATGTTATCTGGAATGACTAATCACACTTTTACTTCTGGCAATCCAATGGGTGAGTGTTAAGTTTGGTGGTGAGGATTACTGTGGAGGGGTTGTTTTTCAGGAGGTGGCCTTAGCCTCTTGGCTCTGTCAGGGCGCCGCTGTGGCTACAATGTACCTTGCCATCACCAGTGTGTGAATGTGTGTGTATGGGCGAATGACTGAATGTAGTGTAAAGCGCTTTGGGGTCCTTAGGGACTAAGTAAATCACTATACAAATACAGGCCATTTACCATTTGGTGAAATAAACTCTCAGTGCTTCAGCATGCTAAGACATTTTGGACAATTTCTTGCTACAAACTTTGAAGAAATAGTTTAAAGATGGTGCCTTATTTTTTCAACATGCCTGCACAGTAGTGGAGAAAGTAGGCTCATATTTGACATAATCTAGCATTAAAAAGATCTATCCTTAGGGCTACAGTTGGAAATCAAGAAAAATACATTATTAGCAAGATTCATGTGTTGATTCATTCATAGCACTTTTCACAAAAAAAATATCATGGAGTGCTTTTCAAAGCCAATACATAGCTCACATAGAATGCAAAATGAATAAATAATTAAAATGAACATTAAAATTGAAGAACATTAGAGAAAAATAATTTAACATGAAAACTGTTTAAAAGTGATAAAGAATATCTAGCATCACGAACATACACATTTGTATTGTTTAAACATGTTTACCATCAGAATCTTAAATATGGGGTGAGAACGATGCCACCATAAAATGAAACTGAAAAAAAAATATTGTAACTGAAATAAATGCACTGAAAAATCTTGTATTGAAATAAAAAAAAAACTGATAGTGAAAAACGATTAATTGAAATTGTACTTTTTTTTTCGCTTACTATTTTTTTTTAATTTTGTTTTAATCCATTTTAAAGCTAAAGCATTGTAAAGCTAGTTTTCGGCTACGAGCCCGACACGGAACCCACCGTATTAGCCAGAGGTCCCTTTACTACGGTTCGGAGCCGCGGACCTTC